AAATCGAATTTTCGACCCTTGCCGCGAAATTAAGAATTTGTCTGATTTTTACAGGCAGGCACTCTTAAATGATGCTCCTGGGTTCAAATCATTTTCTATGAAAGGTTGAACTGTGCGGTAGGACCCATCAGAAACGTTCCCAAAAATTCTTTTGTTCCACCTGAGAAGTCAAAAAGTTTCATTTAAATGGTTAATATAGTGGGAGGCTTAAAATCTCTGCAAATCTGCTAATCAAAACCCTCTTAACATGACAATACAAAATTACGGGAATTGAAGTCGCCTTCAGTCTAGTTGCAGTGGTGACTGTGCATCTCTCCAGAACTATACGTTGATCTTTTTTTGTTTTTGTTTTTGTCAGGAGCTTATTCAGAATGCAGAAGATGCAGGAGCAACAGAGGTCAAATTTCTTTATGACAAACACAGTTATGGGACCAAGAAACTCCTTAGGAAAAGTCTTGCACAGTTTCAGGTGTGTTTTACGTAATGCATTTTGCGCAAAAAGGTGGTAGACTAGTGGAACTCCGATGGTGAATTTGCTGTTCCAGCGGTTAGTTTAATATTGCACTAAGAGATTTTCTGATAGCACTGTCATTGATTGTCAGTAGATACCATCGAGCCAAATCCATTATGCGCTCTCTTAAAGTCCCGTCACGTCATGGAATTCTAAACATATAAACTACATATGCAATTTCTCCTTGAGAGAGTGTTTTTGTTTTAGATATTTTTGTTGCAAGTTCTGCTCTATTGGTCTGGGGGAAGTATAAAAGGTTTCAATGTTTTGCCCCAGGCAAAGAAATGTCAAGGCCAAAAAGCAATTACTGAACTGAGACGATGGCAAAGTTACTCGAATACAAACTTTTATGACTATGGAAAAGATTGAGTGTGACTCCATAGGAAGATCATGGTGACACTTAGAACATACTAGAATGCTTCAAAGAAATCTTAGTTGAGGGTACATGATCTAAAAAAGCCAGGAAAAGACGTGCAGCTCTGACAAAGTAAAGTTGTGAGGGAGAGAGAGGTGAAAACAAGGATGTCATTAGAAAATGAGATATTTTTTCGACGAAAAGTACATGCCCAAAGATTTAGGGGGCCAAACACCAATTGTTGTCAAAGTCGCTCGCGTCATTTGCGTGAAACCACAGTTAGCGCTGTTAGTGAGATGTGGAAACATTTAACAAACAGATTCCATTTAAAAGTGCGTGTGTACTCTGAATAATCCGCGGATGATGTCAAAAAGCTTTAAGAACAAAGAAGTACGCTAAGAATGTCAGGCGAGTAGGGTGACTGATGTCCTTGTTACGTTTTTACGTCCTGCGTGCGTTTTTAAAGTACACACGCACTAGCAAATGGAATCTATCTGTTTTACACATTGTTTTTTCCACGTTCTTTGACTCGCGGCGTCATTCATTCGTCTGTACTCTAATCGCAAACTCTCCTTGATCAATAAATTGCTAGGTTTACGCCATTCACAGTATAACTGTTATTACATGGCTTTCCTGCAAAGGGAAAATGTAACGGCGAAAAAATCGGTACAACCAAAACCTTATCCATGTAAATCCAGCCTCAATTGTTACTCTTTTTTTGTAAGAAATGGGTGAATTTATACTAGAAACGGATCCAGACCAATCATTTGTCCAGTATAGATATAAGAGACGGATCATCCGCCTGCGACGAACTTGGGCAAGACGGGTGGTTCGTCTGTATATGAATACGGGAAAACAGGCAGATAATCCGTCCAGGTGAATTATCCACGATAGTTCGTGCTGACGAATGGTCCGCCTTTTTTCCCACATTTCTATGCAGATGAATTATCAGAAGAAGAGGCGAACTACCCTTCTTTGTCCAAGTTCGTCCCAGACGGATGATCCGTCTCTAGTATAAATTCGGCCAACCGAACAATCTAGATCTTTGTCCGGAGCGAAATGTGTGAGAAATTTCCTAATGCTAAACAATAGTGATGCCTTAAGTTTGTAACTGTCAATGGTTTCTTTCATGTAGTCTCTTCACCAGGCAGGTGATACGGAGCAAGTTCACTTCAATAGTAAATATTGCACGAATGTGTTGGCTTTATCTAGAACTAAAATTAGTACTTAACGTTTTGTTTTTCACAGGGACCAGCTCTTTATGCCTACAACAATGCCAAGTTTTCTAAAGAGGACTGGAAAGGCATCAGAATGATTTGTGACAGTATCAAAGTTAAAGATCCCATGAAAGTGGGCCGGTTTGGCTTGGGTTTCAAGTCTGTATTTCATATGACAGGTAAACAGTCAAGTATGCCAAATGAACCATTTGTGATATCCTGGGTCTGAAGTACGCTGTTGAGATGTTTTTGCCAAGCAGCTGGTTTAGTGCAGAGGGAAAGTTCGAAGCTTAGTCATATTTGATTATTTTATCAATCCTGCCTCCATCCGCAGAAAGAAAGGAGTTCTTGCAAAATTGAAGCAAGAATTCTCTTCACAACTGCCACCGCTTGCTCTTGGTTGTCTAATTAAGTTTCCTATATGGACGTATGTTTTTGCTTCAAAAAGAGATATATCCGCTCTTTGCTGGGTATTTCAAGAGAGATGTCACCAATTGCGCAGATTACCTGTTTCTCATGACATCTTTTACTTATTAGTTCTGCAGGATAACATCTAATGCATTTCTCATCTTCATTCTAGATTTACCAAGCATCCTTAGCGGTCAAAGAATGGGGTTCATTGACCCGCACGAGGAACACTTTAGTGAAGGTGTAAACCGGAAAACGGGATTTGATTGCAGATTAAATAAGGGGTGTGAGACCAGCACACCTGATCAGTTTGCTCCTTACAACGGGATATTTGACTGCGATGAAGAAGTGTTTCGTAGTGGACATTACAATGGGACGATGTTTCGTTTTCCCTTGCGTACCACACCGTCTGAATTATCGCAAACGATGTACTCTGTCGAGAAAGTTACAAATTTGTTTGACAGTTTCATGGCCGACGCTCACCTGGCACTCTTGTTTATGCGAAACCTTGAAGCTATCGAGCTTTACGTACGAGAGGAGTTAGAGGCACAGCCCAGAAGAGTCTTTCGAGTTAAAATCAGCGACGAATCTGCCGCTCAGTTGGCAAGAAGCAGGAGAAAGGAATTCTTTGCTGCAGTCAAACCTGGAAGCCACATGGCAGAACCTGTCACAGTCACTTACCCGATCACAATTGAAGTTGAGGCAGATGGCAAGAAAGCGAGTCATTCGTTTCTGGCAACAAGCTACTGTTGTGGTGGTCAAGTATCAGAGCAGTTTGAGCGGCTCTTAACAGACAAAGACCTTAGCTACTTACCTTTAGTTGGTGTTGCTATGGCGCTACCATCGGGAGCAAACCCCCAGACGCCCAACGTTTCAGGTCATGTATTTTGTGTTCTTCCTTTGCCAGTGCCACCTAAAAGCATGACCGGTCTGCCAGTGCATGTGAACGGATTCTTTGCCCTGAGCCAGAACAGACGACATATCAAAATGCCAAATGTGAATCAAGAAGAGCGAGCAAAGCTGGATGACAAGTCCTTACTCTGGAACTGCTGTCTCCTTGAGGAAGCTGTCCCAAAGGCGTATGCCACGTTGATTTTTCAAGCCATTGAAAACAACGTACCACCAGAGGCAATTTACAAGTAAGTGTTTCGGCTGTAGAAAATAATAATAAGAAGAAGAACACTCCCAGAATCCCTTGAGGTTAAAACATTTCTAGCTTTATAATTTTGGCAATTTTATACCTAGAATTGTGCCACACCAGAAAAAGATGATATTTGCCATAAAACATCTGTAAACTCAAACGTAGGGCGATGACGTCATCAGTCACGTGACCATCCCTGAATTAGCGTTTTAGGCTATTGTCATAAGATGTCTTTATCAACTTAAAAGCAAATAGGATATTTGAGTTTGCATTTGTTTGGGGCATTTGAAGATAACCCCTTGACGTCTGGCATTTGAAATTTAAGGGGGCAATGCAGATGAGTAGAAAAGTTGGAAGACTAGGTCGAGCGCTGTGTAGACTCAACGCTACATACACGTGATTGAAAATTTTAGAGAAGGTAAGGTTCCTTGGAAATGCCCAGAAGCAGGGCATGACGTCACCAGTCACGTGGTCAAAATGCTTGGAATATTTTAGTTTGTGTTTAAAGTACATACATTTGTCTTTGTTAAACGGCAAGGATTAGTTGTATTACTCTAGAAATCTTTACTTTGTACAGTGTTTGAATGATTAAACCTCCGTTTTTTAAACATAAGCGAAAGAAAAATGGACCACAAGTTTAGAGATTGTGGAAACTGAACGTTTTCGCTAGTTTTAATAGAAAAAGCGACTTCTCTTTTAGAGTTTTGAAGTATTCTTTTTTAAGGGAACTGTTTGTTTTAAAAATAAAGGTTTAACCTTCGTACAGAACGAGGACATTTTCACCCAAAACTCCTGCTATTTGGCCGCCATATTGTTTTTGGATGTTTCCGGGGAGGGGGGGGGGGGGGGGGGGTATTTCTCATCGAATTGTTCAGTCAGTGCCGGGACCACGTAATTTCGTACATTCTTGAAACGGATTTTCACGGGACCAACTCTTAAATGTGGACGAAACACATATCAGAGCTCAAGAGGGGCTTCGTTAGCAAGCTAAATCTGTTCAAACGCAGTCGCTTTTTACCCAGAAATACGCTTTTAGATCTGTGTTTTAAAGTTATTTTACCCTCGGTTACATATGCGCTACATTTTGGGGGTGTTGCACAAATAAGAACGAATTTAACGCTTTGGAATCCATACATTGTAGGGCTGCTGGAGTTATATATAGCCTCCCACGCGACATCCCTTCTGTAGATATAAGGAAAATAGTAAGTGGGATTCTTTACTCGACACTTGTAAGGTCAGAACAGCCACCTTAGTTCATAAAATTTATAATCACACAACTCCATCTTGCTTGGAACATTTAATCCAAAGGAAAGAGTCTAAGTATGACCTCCGTCATCACCATCGTGTTAGGGTAGAACGTTTTGAAACATATGAAAAACTCTATATCACACAAAGGATCCATTGTTTAGAATCTCTTAAAACCATCCGCTGTCCGCGCCAGAGATTATGCTAAAGGGGCAAAAAAGTCTCCGGCCCTCAGAAACTTGAACTCTAGTGAAGAGTCACCGCAAATGGGTCCCCAGATTGACAGTGATTTCATGTTTTATTGATTTTAGTCATATCTTTTTTGCATTTTTTGCATTTTTTATTATCCTATAAACATTTTTTTACATGGTCCCATAAGTTATATTAGCTTTAAAACCCACCATGTTTAAATAAAAGATGTTGTTGTTAAAGAGTTTCCAATTTTTGGACAAACAAGAAAATAAGAAAATGGATATTTTGGTCAGATCGCACGGAGAAAATGCTTCAGAAGTGTACTGTACCTCCCACAAAAAATATGCATGGCTCTCCCCCCGATTCACTTAAACGTTTGGGGTGACGCGAGTGAATTACTGTGGGATGTTGTTTTGGACAATTTCAACCTTAAAATTGCTATTGGCTTGGTTTTCTCAAATGAATCATAGCTGGAGAGCTCTATTTAGTTGTGTTTAGAGAGACTTAAGCACGTCAATGAACGTAGACTCTCAGATTTACGTTGAGTATTTGAGTTGTACACGTAAGTTAAGTGATCACGGTTCATGACTCTGGCAGAGTGATTACTATTTTGGAGATGGATTGTTAACATTCTTACAAGCCTCAATGGTTTGAGTTGATTGACTGAGCCCTGGTTAAAACAGAATTGAAGGAGCCAAGAAATGTTTGAGAATGTAAACAAGCTGGCTGCGAGTTCACCAAATGACAACATGGACAATTTAAGCTTGTAACTTTGAAGAGAAACTATTATTACCAGGATCCAGGAGGTAGCCTTGTAAGCGATATTTTCACTTTACGTCAGTTTGAATACCTATTGTTATGCTAAGGACAGTGCGTAATGCTTGAGATTTGATCGATTAATGAAAAGCTTACATTGGGAATTAACTATTCCGCAGGCATAGCTTTTAGCTCTATCACTGCTTTTACCAGGAGGTGTAGCTTAGTGATAAATCCCAAATTGAATCCCGAATGAGATTTTACCGTTTATTTTACGACTAGTTTCAACAGAAATAGAAACTGATCTAAGTGATGGTACCGCGCGAGTTTGTTTAATAATTCCCACTGGAATCAAGAATAGACAGTTTCTTATCTAACTTGCGATCAAGTGTTCTTGGGGGTGGGGCGAAAGTCGGCGGACGGGCAAAGGCAAAAAACAACGCCTGTCTGTCAACAGCGATGTTTATATGCTATATCAATCACCGGAAATTCTTGCGGCTCGCAGAGGAACGTGAGTTAAGGTGGCTGAACACAGTTTTTGATACCTGTGTTTCATTCACCTTTTTCTCTAAAACCCTTGATCCCTCGGTCGTCAAAAATGGCAGAAAGCAA